AAAAAAAAAAAAAAACTTTGTACATCTGCCACTATTTATTTTAATTTCAAGCAGTTATATGGAATATAGACTACAATTCTGGATACTTCCATTAAATCAAAAATGTATTGGAAGACTGATACCAGCATTATTATATGGCACAGTCACTCTTAGGATAATTGTCTATTTCTCATTTTTCAAAGATTTTAATGAAAATTTAGCTCTTTTCTCAGAACTGCTCCCAATGAAATTCATGAGAATTTTGACACTTATGGTGCAGTCAACAGTTGAATGCAGCAAAACAGAAATTCCTCATTTCTGACTAGGGCTGCATATTGTTTATTCCCTTCCCTGTACTCAGCAGGAGTACTGGGATGAGTTTACTTCAGAGGCAGTGGGAAAGTGCCCTAAAGGGGCGTTACATGCATACAAATTCGTGGCTTTCCCTTGAATAAGCTTCTTTAATCATCTGTTTATTTTGAAACCCGAATTAAGCAATTGCTCCATTAGTATGAATATTCAATGCATGTTCTGCCTTTGTGTCCTAACCAGCGCTGTGAGCCATTTTTACACCTTCTGCAAGAAATGCCTGCCTGTGATTGACCCATCCAGCCACTGGATGTCACACAAATGCAGATGAAAGGGCATCTTAACTACTCCTCCTAATCTTGACAGATCCCAGGTTAAGTATGAATTTATCAGTTATGTGGGGATCCTGTAAATTTAATAACTGCAAAAGTTATTACACTGATTGACTTGGTTTATGAACTTGTTTGTCCTAACTCTCAGTCATACTATATTTCTGATTTAAAGTTTCAAAGTTCTAAAAATCATACCACTACAACTTCCTCTGGGTTTGCTTGTCACTAGATATAACTGCTGGATGGATATTTTTAGAAGATTCCTTGCACTCAGCTTGTCTTCACAGCTTTACAACGGCTTCACTGCAGGTTAATGTGCAGCTCAACTAAAGCTGCTAATTACTGATGAAGGAATTTCCTGTATTTGATGCAATCAACATACATTAAACACGAAAATAACAGCTTGCTGCAGCAGTGTCTTACTACAGTCTGGGCTGCAGATTTACTCTCAAGCACTACACAAGCTATTGGCCCTCCTCTGAAAAACTCAGTGTGGGGCCGCCACACAGCTTTTGGCACCTAACTTGTTTGATCAGGCTCTCACATTTCTGCCTGTAGTCAAAGGGGAAAGACAGGGTCTTCTACAGAGCAATGTAGATCACATACATTAATCTGTACTCAAAGTCTTGCCTCACTGGAGCCTGTTTGTCTCAGACATCTGTCTCAATCCTGTTGTCTTCAACACAAGCTGCAAGTGGCAAAGATTGGGTTGTTTCCTGGAAGGGGCACTTGAGTTGATCAACTATTGCTGATGCATCATCGCTTTGCAAAGCTTGTGATGACTAAATAGGTTAATTCACTTTTATATCATTCTAGAAAGAAGCACAGTCCTTGGATGCTGAGGACAGCTGTCATTTACTGGTGTATTTGAGGAGTAGGATTTAGAATAATATCTATTAATTTCAATAACAGACTGGTAAACATTTGATTCCTTCCAAATAACATGGCTATCAATACAATGTGTCTACCCACTTTTATTTGGAAGAACACTGGCTCGTGATAACAAGGCACATAATAGAAGAAAGTGCCTCTGCTGCCACTGTGGCTGAGCACTGGCAAGAGAGATAAATCAGAGATACCTTGGACATCTGTACCCAGCCATCACACACAACAACGTGCAAGAAAAATCTGATACAGTAATGGGAGCATGAAGCCGTATGAAGAGAGATTTTTGTGTTTTTAATGGGATTTAAAGTAAGTTTAATAGTTACAGAGGCTTTGGATACAATTTCCTCTTTCTTTCCCAAAATCTCACATACGAGTTTATTTCAGAAATAAATCAACTAAAGTAAATAGTGCTTTGAGTTTGTTGCACAAGTGTTGCTGCAGGTATCACAGCTGCCTGTAAAAAAATAAGTTTAGTAACAAAGTCAAACAATGTAAAAGGGGGTAAACAAATACAAAAACGAACGACCAAGAAATGTGCAACAAGTATTGCAGTCCAGTTGGTTGTAGAGTATCCCAACTTCACATCTACATATGATCTGTTCAGAGACTGCAGTTAACTTCATTATAAGCAAGGACATACTAATGATAAGTATTTAATATTTGATTTTTTTCTCTCCTTTTTTTTAATGTATAGTATCTGTTTTTCTGGAAGGGAGGACAGCAATAATCATTTCTGAGGCTTGATATTGTACTGGTTGAAATTGAATTTATTCAAAAAGCCTGAGAAAGTGTTAATGTGCTACAAGTCCTTGATCAGAAAATGGCAGAATTTTTCTAGGTTTGTTATTCCAGCAATTCCTGTGAAGGAAACATTGAATTGCCTACATTCTGAACAGTCAGAAGCCTTCAGGACCTGAGAGCTGTATAGATCATAGCTGAAATTGCTCCAGTCATCCCAAGATTTTCCTGTGCAAAAATATGCTCAGTCAGGACAAAAGGAAAATTGAGGCAAATATGAACAAGATCGTGATGCAGGATGCAGAAGCTTATCCAGAGGAAAACCTCTTTCTTCACATCCTTTCTCTCTCTCTCTCCTTCCCCTCCAAGTTCTGCTCTTCCCTCACCCCAAACTGTCTCGTGACTGGGGATACCAGCATCCAAATACTGCTGCTCCACCAACACCATCCCTGAGCTTTACATATAGACTGTCTGGGATAATACTTTACAAATACAATTTAACCATGTGACAATTACAAAAAGAGCAGTATGTACTGTTCTTTTTATAGTATACTATATAATATAGGGTCATGCCTCCTGCGTCTTTAATTCCAGTGTGTGTGTGTGTGTGTATTCATAAGCAATGCAAGCTTAGGAGCAGCAAATCATCAGAGACTCCTTTAATTATATTTTCCCATGGAAAATGGTAGAGGGTGAAAATGTCCACCCTCACATAAAGTTACTGAATATAATGTTCACACGTGATACCCTCCATAACAAATGACTTCACTGGTCACTGTCTAGATATCACCTTCTCTTCCTATTTTTGTTCTGTTCATACTTAACAGCGTCAGGCAGTGTCTGGCTGCCATTGCATCTCCTGCATTTCCTTTCCTGAGCTCATGCCTAAACCAGACCCTGTTCAACATGACCTCTGGGCTAATTTCTCTGGACAGAAAAGTGATATTTGCAGCCCCACTGCAAAACAGTCCCCAAAAGCCCCAGCCAGCAGACCTGGGGCAGCAGCTCCGTGTGTTGCTGCACCAGCAGCTTCGAGGACGCAACAGTGAGAAGCAACACGAGCAAAACCTTGGTGCTGGCCTCGCAGCCTGGTTGTACATACCTAACTGTGCTGAGCCTTTCCTAGACACATTAACCATTTCCTACAGGGCTGAGCATTGCAGTCAGCAACGTCTGGGCCAAACCAGTTTGTACAAAGCAGCGCTCCCCGCACCTCTCGTCTCCCCTTGTAAGAGAGCAGAGAGTGCCTTCTCTGCCCGTGATGAACTGGTGCACTCTGCGTGTCCAGCTCATGCACGGGGCAGGCTGCTCCTCGCATCAGCCAGTACCAGGTCGTCTCTGGGGTCCCTGGGCAGCACAAGTTGCACCACTACACACACCTCCCCACCAACTGCCTGGCCTGGAGAAAATGGCTCTTCTCAAAGATAGCATTGAAAGTCTGGAAAGGCAGCCCAGAGTGATATAGCGCGCAAGCCTACAACCTCAGGAGTTGGACACCTTTGGCCAGATAACTGCAGAACAGCAAGGGTGACCCTACAGACACAGCTAAGCGAATTTCACCTACACAGCATAACCGATGTACTACTGAGCTTTCTGAGAGTACCAGCTTGAGAGATCAGAAACGTGCTCACGATCGTCATCATTCCCCGTAGAAAGCAGCCTCAGTAGCTGTCTAGGCCTCCACTCATTATACACAAAAGTTCTCCTTGGAATTTCATTTTTCTGAAATGCAGAATATGAAATTGTGCATGAATTAATAGTATATGGGTTAACTGTTTCTTATGTTTTGATCTTATTTTTTTTTCCAGATTAAACGCCTGAACACACTAAAAACATTAACATCGAACTTTAGGACCTGTAGGAAAACCTTTCTCAGACTGGGCAAAGGCCTCTATGCATGATTCACTAGTATTTGCTACAACTGAATGTGTCAAATATATTTTGTTAGGATAAGGGTTTGCAGGACAAACTGTGTCTTAGGTTATCGTACACAAATTTGTTTCAAAATGTAAAAGAACATTTATTGTAAAATATTACACTACACCCAATAGCCAAGGAAAACATGTTGGGAAACTGTACTCAGTCTTGCAGCTCTGTGCAGGAAGCCAAGGCGGCAACTTGAAAAATCAAGGCTTTGAGCTGCTTTATCTGATGCTCAAAACACTGACCAAAAATCTGACCCTTTTGGAACCAAACTGCTCCTGGGGCTACCT